AATGTTTTCACTTTAGGGGTAAAAAAAGTCCGGGGCCAAAAAGGAAAAAAAAAAAAAAAAAAAAAAAAAAAAAAAAAAAACGCAATTGTGAGAGGTGTGAAATTCACAGAAGAGGAAGCACTAAGCTGGCTCCGTGGTTATCATTAGTCTCCTGTTCAGCTGCTCTGGTTCCCGTCTGAAGGATGTTCCAGACCGTCCTCTGTGTGCTGGCCTTACTGTGTAAGTACGCACTTTACTCTGTTTGAACAGCGTCGGTAGGTGTCATGTAAAAGCAATCAAATGAAGTGGTGTTTTTGTTTTCTCGTATTTCTCAATAACCCTAAGTATGTCATGCTTGGGTGACAAAAACTGGCATCCGTATTACACACTACTTGTTTTCTTTCAGAATTCACAAGTTATTTTAAGTCAAAGCTCCGTTACCGTTTTGGAGTGGCGCGGCCAAAAACCGTGTATTTGAATCTGATAACTGAATTTTGGAGGGCAATAAAAATGTGGATTATGACCTTCCAACTTTGGAGGTTTTAGGCTCATTACCAAAAGATAAATGGTCAAAACAGAAGCAGCAAGCAAAAACATACATTTAAATGTAATCCCAATTGTAATGTCAGTGGAGATGTTTCATTTATTGTTAAGTTATATTCACACTTTTGACAAGTACTTTCACTAATAATATGTGAATATAAAACTGATGCGCCAAAAATACTTTACATTGTATCCATGCATTATTTTTGTTGCTACATTTACAAACGAGTTCACCTGTCAGGAATTATTTTCTTTCAGACAAAGTTTCTTCATTGGAGCTTAAACCAGTCCTGACTGTGTCTCCATCATGGCCGAGTCCTGGAGCCTCAGTGACTCTGAGCTGTGAGGTTGAACCTTCATCTGCAGGATGGAGGATCTACTGGTATAAAGCTGTTCCTGATCTGTCACACAAGAGCTACAGATATGAGCTGCTGCCTGGTGGCGTCGCTGGGACTATGAAGGACTCGTTCATCATTGATGGACAGAAACACACAGCAGGATTTGCATGTAGAGCTGGAAGAGGAAACCCAGAGGATTTCACTCAGTACAGTGAACCGAAGTTTGTCTGGTCCACAGGTCAGTTCTGCTTCTGTACCATCACCTCTGAAACATAAACTTGATGTAACAACTTAATCTATGTTTTGTAAGCCATACAATATCCAGAGGGCTAACAAAATGGTATTTAACATATAAATATGTTTAACAAGTACATTTAACGATATTTTGTTCCCATAATTGTTGTCAACTTTAACCTACAATACAAGATGTGCCTTATGATGTCACTAATCTGACAATGTAAGGACATTAAACTGTTAAATTTTGACAATGATTAGGACAGAGGAACTGAGATGGTTCTATGTCCGATTTTTGCTTCCTCTCTGTTTTGACAGAATTACGGTTATTTATGTAGTTTTGCAGTCATCTATTCTCTGTTGCTAGGGTTTATGTTATTGTTGAGCTGTAGGACACTTTTAATTGGAGCTGTGTTTTCTCTTTCATTTGAAGATGTTGCCTCTTATATTGGGCATAAAAGCTGCTGTGAGACTGATTTGTAATGGTCTTTTTCTAGCATGTTTGTTTTGGATCAATCTAAAAAGTGAGCAATGTGTTGGGAGGAAGCCCTCATGTTTCGTACTGTGTTTTCATGTCGGTCAACATCATGACCAGTTGAACAAAACAAAACCAGGCACAGTTTCTTTTAGATCTTGACTCTTTTTGTGTCAGGACATAAACTATTTGTTGTTTTTCTTTATTCAGAAGTTGAAACAACAGCGACAAAATGAAAAAGCTGAGTACAGACAACCATTTATTGTTTCTTGCAAAACAATAATAAGCAGCAGAACTTGAATGACTGTTCCTGCATGACTTTAGTCTCTAAAGTTGAGGAGGAATGTATCCCCTCCTCATTACAGGACGACTGTGTGAGTTCATTGAGGTTTGCAGACATTCATTTCTGCAAATTGCTTGGGGTCTCGCCACTTCCTTCTGATCTGATTGTCATGTGTGTTCTTGTTTTTTTTACGTCAACCACAGTAGAAGCCAGCTTTGGTATAAGTCAGCATAGGAAGGCCATGCAGCATAGCATAGCCTTCCTACGCTGCGTAGCATGTAGGGCTGCCACCTTTCAGAAATAAAAAGGACGACTAATGCGCATCGTCCTAGTCTTGTAAGCGGGGAGGGGGAAGACTAGGGTTACCTAGGCTAGGGCAGTGGCGCAACTGCACATTATTCAGGTGGATGCGAAAACATAAATCGGCGCCCCCCCGAGGCGGGGGTAAAATTCGCTACATGTACCTTGTTATGTGCGAGAGGTGAATGAGCGTGAGGAGCGCTGAACTGTATGGGAAAACATAATCAGTGCGTCGCCCCCTCCAGACGGGGTTTTGGCGCCCCCTCTGGTGCTGCACTCCTATGCGTTGCATACGCTGCATACCCACTTTTTGCGCCTCTGGGCTAGGGTTACCAAAGGACCAAGGGGGACCAACAAATAGTGGGTCCCACCACTGTTGTATTGTCTTTTTCTCTCCAGTGTAATGGAATAAAATGGTAAAGCAGAAACTTACTAATTGTTGTCTCTCTAACATAAAAAGGACAGTGTGTGTACAGAAGTGAACCTGTGCATCAGTCATGACCGAGCAACAGGAAGTCATTTTGAAAATAGAAAGTGTGGTACATTGAGGGTAGCCTGATAAAAACCAGCCCTGCTATTACACAGAGGGTCTGGGCTCTCTGCTGTTGAGAAACAAGAGCTTCCTTTAGATGTGGACTGTGTTGAGGGTTCAACATTTGCCCATGACGTACCAGACATTGCCTACGCTGTTAACAACCGCCCTCCACCGCTAAGAGAGAAGAACGAGGCAGCTGTTAATGGTAATTCAGTATTTGGCTTTGTTCACTTCCTCTGCTACCATTACTGAAACTACAGGTCTAAAACAGCGCAGTTCACAACTTCGAGGCTCAAGGGGAGAAAACCCAGAATGATTTGGAAAGAAGATTTTTTTATTTTTTTCCAAGCAGAGTTGCAGAGGTGGGCAACTAAGCTGAGGATAGAAGGTTGAGTAATTGAATCTGCACATCTAGACACAACATCTAGGGCACATGTGTCAAACTCGAGGCCCGTGGGCCAAATCTGCCCCGACATAGTGGCATATGTGACCCTCTGGATTCTAGACTGAACACTAAGTGTGCTTAAAAACTATTTTATCAATCACATCAGTGCAGTTTTGATCTGTTTACTGCTAGATTATATCAATCAGTCCCTCTAGAATTACTGTGGAAATTCACTCAAAATTAACAACTTCCCACACTTTTTTGCACTAATAAATTATTGGGACTATATTGTAGATTTTTGTCAAAAATTGTCAAAAACTTTCTGACTTGTACTAAACAGCTGCTTCAGCCTTATTTGATGTCAGATGATAGTCCATGACCTACACAGCGAGTAATAAAAAGTTGCTCTTACTGTCATAAATAAACATAAATATTACAAATTAGTACCACCAGCACTTTGATTTTTATTGCAAAAAAAATCCCAAAAAGAATCATGAAATCCTGGTGGGAAAATATGTTCAATTATGTTATTTAATTTTGAGAATTAAGAGCTAAATTTCACTCCTTGCTACGGTGAGGGAGAAATTATCGTAATAACCCGATATTGGCTGGAAAGCGGAACATCTCCCTTTCAGAAACCGGTGGAATTTTTCAGACAGCACAACGTGTCGCGGAATTATGGTACTGCAAATTTTGCTGCGTCTCCATGGCTACATTTAGTCTGGAAGGGTTAAAAACATTATTAGTGAATAAGAAGTGGAGGGAGACCAATGATTTAAATAAACACTTCATGTTTATTTCCCATTACATTCTATATTCCAGATCCTCATCCAGCAGCGTCTCTCTCAGTGAGTCCTGACAGAGAGCAACACTTCACCTCTGAGTCTGTGACACTGAACTATGGAGGAAACTCTGCTGAGTGGAGAGTGATGAAGTTTTCAGTAACAGGTCATCTGATATATTTAAGAATCTGTTGGGCAATGACTGGATCTTTATGTACCATCAATCGGACTCACTCTGATAAGTCAGTGTACTGGTGTGAGTCTAAATCGGGAGAGTTCAGCGCTGCAGTCAACCTCACCGTACATAGTATGATTTTTATGTTTTTCTTAATGCTTGATGAAATTGTATGACATAAAATGTCAAATACGGATAAAAACACACTCAGTTTATTGTCTGTTCTAATTGTCTCCAGCAGCTGATTTCTGACTGAAGCTTCATTTTCTCTGTCTGGTTTCCAGATGAAGGTCTTCTCCTGGTGAGCCCCGTCCATCCTGTGACTGAAGGAGCTTCTGTTACTCTGAGCTGCAGACTGAGAGGAGAAAACAAACTTTCTGATGTGATTTTCTATCATAATGACAAACTGATCCAAAATGACAGCAGAGGAGAGCTGAAGATCTCTGCAGTGTCTCAGTCAGATGAAGGTTTCTACAAGTGTGAACATTCAGGAAACGTTTCACCTCAGAGCTGGATGGGAGTTAAAGGTAAGAAATAATCTATTGCTGGACATTAGTTATTGTATTGTGTTTGTATTTTCAGTTTTAAATTTATTGTTAAAAAATGACTTAAAGTGCTGCCCAGACCTGAACACCCGTCCTTCCCAGTGCTGCTGGTCGCTGGACTCGGTGGACTCAGTGGAAAAATCCTAATCATCCTCCTGATTCTGCTGTCCCACTGCAGATATTTAAAAGGTGATTCATTTCTTCTCATGCTTTATGAAATCAGCTACTTGATGAATGTTTGTCCATCCTTTTTTAGCATATATAAACAATTATTTCCGAAGTGAAGTTGTTATGGAGACAAACACTGAGCTGAACCACTGAGGTTATGAAGTGTGAATATTTAACATCTTCATTCCCTACTATTTTAAATGTTTTCATGGTGGTTTTCTTTCAGGTCCATGAAGAGAAATGTATCATCAACAGATCAAGAAAGGCTTAAAAGGGGAAAATAAAATCATTGCTTGGCAACAGGAAGCAGTGAACTCAACTTCTACCTGATCAGGTGCATTTGTAGAATCTGCCCAACTTCTCCCACTGAAAGGTTTATTTTATGATTTGTTGATTGTTTTTTTTTTGTTGTTGTTGTTTTTTTGGTTCTTTCTTGCATTAACTGATCTGTGCTGACCTTTGTTTTGTTATAGTTTTACCAAACTTAAAACTGGACTTATTCATGAGTCTTATTCAAATGTTCAATTTGTATCCCAGCTTAATATCTGTAAAAAAACAAATCATTTTTGCAACCTTGTATTAAAACTATGGTCAGCTCTTATTTTTCCTCTATAGCACTTTAATAATTTCTGGAATTATGTAACTAAATGGTCATAAAAGTTAGCTTGATTCTCCAAAAACAAGGACGTTCCACGCCTGTAAAATTGCAGCGAGTAATATGGTGATGGTGTTTTTAACGTTACGTGTATTGTAAAGATTTTATGTGTTACCCCAGTAGGGGGCAACACAGTACTGTTCTGCTGTGTTTACCTTTCTTGGATGGAAATATTGCTGAGAAATCCTTGAATCACTGAGAGAAGATAAGTAACCACTGAAACACACAATATGCCATCAGATCATGTAGCTACATTTCCTTTGACCCTCACTGACCGTATGCTGAGGTAAGACGTCTTTCAGAAGAGCAGCAGAGCTGGTGGTCTCTGACTCGCTGGTAGTAGTTTAGTTTCCTGTCCTTTAAGGGACACCGTAAATGCACCTTTTCTGTAAATCCAGACTAAATTATGTTTAGTGAACACACATCTAATAATGCTGCATATGGCCGCTCATTCTTCAGACTTGTTTTTTTGTTTCAAATGACAAAACATTATTTCCAATGTAAACACATAGAGAAGACAAAATACAGCCTGTGGACTAGACCTAAAAGTATGACGTTTAGCTTCATACAGCCAGCAATGGAACCCAGAGAGGCTGCAGATCTCCTAGATGTAAAAGTTTAGGGTTAAATGAGTAAAAGAAATCAGCAACGCCACCGCAACAACAGGAGCCTCTGACCCCAGGACAGTCTGTAAGCGGCAGCGGCAGCAGAAGGAGGCAGACGGAGACACTGACGTCACGACGCAAGCATCATCATGGCAGGTGGATTCCTGCTTATATACACATAAGCCGAAATTGGTCTTGTTAAAGTGGCAGCATGCTGCTACATTACCAAAGCAATTTTGTAGAAACTTCATTATTATGAACAATAAAAAGCAAGGAATTTAATTAGATTGGATTTACAATTCAATATATTTCACAGGGCCTTTTTCTAACAGTTGTATAGAGAGATGAAGCAACAGTGAAGCAGCAATATGTGAAGATTATGAGCAGTCTTACAGCTTCTGTGGGTTTTAAAGAGAACAGCCCCTCAGAATCAGAAGAGTAAATGCAGATTGGTTTCTGGTCATTATCAGTGTGAGCAGCTTTCTGAAATTAAACTGCTGCGACAACCCCAGCAGTGTACAAACCCACATACAAAACTTAACCGCATACTGCAGAGGAGATGCAGACTAAATGTTTAAAGAAGAAGAGAAAAACATAGCCCAGTGTTAAGATCATTTGCTTTATGGAGATAGTAGCACAAAGTACAGAGCTAAACATATTATGCTTAGAGAACTAAAAGTACAAACGTTCCAACTGTGCATTAAAATGCTGTTATTGTTAAATATGTTTTTCATCCTGGAAAAAGTCCCTCATTTTTTAAAGAGGTTGTTGTGACGTCCCATAGGTCAGTCTGCCTGTCCTTTGCTGCTCTTGAGTTTTGAGTGTTAGAAGTCTTCCACTAAAACAACTGTTCACCTGCCACATATATGGCATTCATGGAAGAGAAGGAAGAAGAAATTGCTAAATTGTCAACTTTTTCTTCCACTTCCAAGGTATTTGCCATTTTATGTTGGTCATCAGTTGCATAAAATCATGAAACTAAAGTTTGAACACTTCAGTAAATAACAGACAATTCAATGCAGTGGTCAAAATTGCATTACTACATTTTATTAATTAGATGAAGAAGAAAAAAAGTAGGATTCTCTACTATAAAACATATTGATTACTTCCAGCTGAGATATAAAGGTTCTGTTTTATGGGCCTTTTACATGACAATAACTAAGAGCATGAGAGCTTGAGCCAATCAAAATCAGGAAATGTGAATGTGTAGCATAGAGGGAAACCACTGAAGCAGTGTGAGAACTGTGCAGGAGAAAAGAAGGAAGCAGAAAGATAAAAATTTCATCTTGATAGCAGCTGTTTCATACTAAGAAGTGACTGGGCTTCTGGTTTCAGTCTGTCTATGGTTAAAAACGTTGAAGTACGTCTGAAGCAGTGACACATCATCGGTGTTGGATGTGAGGATGGGTCACTTTTTGCTGTCGGTGCTGGCCGTACTCTGTAAGTAGATCGCTTTGTCTTTCTGAAGTGTGCAGGTGGTGGAAAATGTTTGCAACGTTTACAATATGTCAGAGATTCATTACTTTTCCACAAAAAAGTTAACTGTGCAGAATTTCTGTTGCTTTAAGTTTTATTTTTCCTCAGGTTTTGTTTTAGGGTAAATTATAGATTCAGTTCACAAAATGAGAGTGTGGGGGATATTGGATTGACAAGAATGAGAAAAGATGAGATTTTGATATTTGGAAAACCAATCTCCTTTTTTCTGTCCTTTTTTGATCTGTGTCAAACAATTCAGTTCGGGATCGACCAATCAATGTATGTTATTTTACAAAGAAGTTTGTTCTAATAGGAATGAAGACAGCATCTCTCAAAAGATATTAAAACACTTTGAAAGACGTCAGTTATTATTTGTGAAAAAATGGGAGTGGTATTTAAAGTCATCAATAATTAATGGAAATGTTATCATTAAGTAACAAAGCCATTTCCTGTAATTGTGTAACAGCTCAATGGTGTTTAAAGCTTTACATGATAAGATTGTTAGGGTTCCTTTCTATCATCCTAATCTTTAGCTCCTTCGACTCATTCTATATCATTTTCAAGTCTGGACTTTGGCAGACTTGAAAATGTCTGCCAAAGTGAAACATTTTAAAACATTAATGTCACAAACCAGTTTGGAAAAATCTAAAGATTACAAAATATCCCAAGAGTATGAATAATTTGGTGCTTAACAGTTTGCATGCCATTCTTGTTTGTCACATTCTAGTGTGACGCTAATGCCAAAAATATGCATCTGTTCAATGCAAAACAACCCATTTCAGGTTTTCTCAGTCTTATAAGTATTTCAGATTTCAAACAAATGACAGTTAATCAAAACTGTGAAGTATTTTTAAACTTTTGTCTAAATCGTCTATCGACTACAGAAACATTACTGTATATTTATTTTCTTAGATTCATTACTTGCATCTCAGACATCAAATCTTTTATAACCAAAATGGTGACTCACAAATGATAAATAATTGATGAGATTTTTTTTTTTGGTGCTCAAATAACCTTGTGCAATCTGCCAGTGAGGGACACTAGAAGGTTTATCTTTTTCTATCATTGTCAAGTATCTCTTGACTCTCTTCTCACAGTGCGTAGATAAAGTTAGCATAACTGTGAAGTCCTGTAGCCACAAAAAGACAGTGCAGACTGAGCTGTAGAGAAGTTTCAGTCAACTGCATAATTAGAAACAGTGAAGGAAGTTTTGACCACATACATTCTCAGAATGAAATAATAAGACGCACGATGGTAAACAGGTCTTTGTATCTAAGTTCTATATTTTGGCTTTGGTGGTGCAGTATGCTATAGCTCACATTGGTCTAATGTGAGCTATAGCATACTGCACCACACAGACCTGATGGTTATCGGTGGTGTTGCTCTGTTTGGTACATTTGGATTTGTTTCTGTTGAATAAAAACATCCTCACTGTATACCTAGGTGGGCCCCATATGGGGAAAAGGAGGGCAGTACCTCACAAGGAGGGCACTTCAATATCTGGCATCTTTGCAGCTTTAGATATAATGCAGTATGAAAAGATTAAAGCATTCAACTCTACACGTGGACTCATAATAATAGGCAGAATGAAATAGCTAACACAGTGAGAGTCGAGTCAATCTACAGCATATGAACTGCTCTCTGCAAGAAAAGCTTTGTTCTTAATAAAATATTGTCGTATCTTTAGTTCCTTACACCTGTATTGTGACAGTTATTAGTAGAACTGTAAAAAAGACGAAAACATCTATTCTAAAATTTTCACATTTCCTCTTTCATGCTTCATTTTTATACAATGTCTGATAAGCTTTGTGTTTTTTAGGTCTCAGTTCTCTTCTTGGGTGTGGAAAAACTCAAGGTAGCGTTTCCTTTTTTACCTGTCCATTAAGTCATTCTTATATCAAAAACAGTTGAGCTTTCATTCTGGTAACTTAACTTGTTTATTTTTTTTAAAGAAGTACCTAAAAAGCTCTTATATGTTTAAAGCAGGGGTGCCCAAACTTTTTGAGAGCAAGATCTACTTTTTCTCTCACCAGCCGCCTGAGATCTACCTCATGACACAAAGACATAAAAATTGCAAATTAAACTCTATTGACTTATTTTATATGTGAATATACTTCAGTTATAGCAGAAATAATAAAGTGACAGAAAACCTAACGCAGTTTCTTCCTCAGTGAGATTCTGACAATGGGAGCAGGTTACTGGTTTCTCAGTCAGAAGCTGGTTGCAGACCTGACGCCAGCAGGTGTCAGTCAGTCATGGTAGATCTGAACTTTGGTTTGATGACCTCAGTATGAGAAACTACAGACTGACAGGAGGAACCAAAGAGCCCAGTAAAGGTAAAGGCAAATCTTCTGAAGTCGGGATATAATTAATTTAATTTCACATAATTATCCTGGTAGAATTTGTTAAAACTTAGTGAAAAATATTTGTCCTATTTGATGTTTGTTGTGACGTATAGTCACAAACGAGGTCATTAGTCCAATTTTGTCGTTTATTGAATGTTCAGAAACTACAGCAGGTGTGATGAGCCACAGCAAAGGTAAACAAAGGTAAAACAACCTGAACAGATGATCAACTCAAAACCACTCCTACCTTTTCACTCTTTCTCTCTGTCGTTTAAGCACACCCGTTGCACAACCTTTCTGCGATCGACCGGTCAATCGCGATCGACGTATTGGGCACCCCTGGTTTAAACTATGCAGTAACACCTGCATTACGTGACAGCTGCCCTCTAGTGGCTGTTAAAACCACTGTAGAACTTTTAATAGTTTGTGATCAATTATTTTAAATACTGGGCTAAAACATAAATGCACTGGTTTTGAAATGTCAATGAGACATTTTTTTATTAACTTAAAAATAAGAATCTGAATAAGGGTAATATTATTAAGAGCATAAATCATAAAATGCTGTCTTTAACAGAGCCAAAGCCTTTCCTCAGTGTGTCTCCATCATGGCTGATTAAAGGAGCCTCAGTAAATCTGAGCTGTAAAGCTGAACCTTCATCTCCAGAATGGAGGTTCTTCTGGTATAAAGCTGTTCCTGATCTAAGAAACAAGAACTACAGTTATGAGCTGCTGCCTGGTAGCATCAATGGGACTGAAGAAAACTCCTTCATTACTGGACAGAAATACACAGCAGGATTTGCATGTAGAGCTGAAAAAGGAAACTCAAAGTCATCAACTGATTATAGTGAACCAAAGTTTGTCTGGTCTGCAGGTCAGTGTGTTTCTACTCTAATCTATTCCCTCATTTGTTTTTATGTCTCTGATAAACTCTCATGTTGACTTTTAATCTGACATAAAATACAGATATACAACAATGTGAAAAATGAAAACTTTTCACATTTATTACATATATTTATGTGTGATGTTAACTTATCGTTCTTATAACTAGTGTAAGACGGGAAACAGCAGTGAGAACCTGCCAAAACGTACACATGATATGAAAAAAAGGGAGACTTGGTGCAAAAAGGGAAAAAGTGAGATAAGAAATAGAGGAGAGAAAGAAGGTCAAAGAGACGACAATAAAACACTTTTAAGTGTGTGAGAACAGATCTGAGAAACCACAGTGATAACATATGTATAACAGCGTCAATGAAAAGTACACAGTACTGATTTAAACAAGATGTATTCAGTGGTAAATGCAGCCCAAGTTAGTTTATCTGTCCACACCTGATTTAAAAATATAATTCATCATGCATTCTTAAACAACATCTGTTACAGAAGTCTAAACAAAGTTAAGACGCATGCAGTGGATGTTTGGTTCAGAATTTGTGACCTTGTGCACGCTACCTAGAACAATACTACTGCCAGGCAGAGGGTGGCGCCAAACACAAAGATTACATGATTTGAACATCGTTTTTATTAAGAAATACATGGACAGGATCCTGCAGATTTTTGAATGTGAGAAATGTATCAGGAAATAGAAACTGTACTGAACTCATTTAGTCACAAAAGGTCAGTTTTATGTTCAATAGAACCAGAAATAACTCAGAACTACAGGGTAGGAAAAAAGGGGGAATATTTGAGGTTAATGAAAGTTACGTAACTGAAATAAATGAACTGAACTAAAATATCTTTTACCTTCCTAACTCACATAAGCAGGAACAATCACACAAATGGTAGAGCTGGATACGTTTTTTAATAATGAGATGGGATGATAAAATATAAGTGATATGAGTTCTGATGTAGTGCTGCCTTTTTACCAATTTACATCCAGCTGTTTCTGTTCCATGTTCATGACTAACTACCATTTACATGGATTTAAATACAGCAACCTATAACAGGATGTAAAGTTAGTAAACTGTTGCTTTCCTGTGGATTAGGGCAAGTAATGACAGCTTTAACAATACTACAAATAGGGACAGCCTACTAATTAGATGATTCAGTAAATAATTGCTTTATTTATTTTTGCAAATCTTTGTTTTTCAGATTCAGCAGCCTCTCTGACAGTGAGTCCTGAAGGAGAGAAACATTTCACTGATCATAACGTCTCATTAAAATGTGATGGAAACTCTACTGATGGGAGAATAAGATATTATAGAGAAATAAACACTCAGTCATATCTGTATGACTGCTCCACCTGGTGGACAATGAATGAATCCTCATGTATTTTCGACAGTCAGTCGACCTATAAAGCAGTGTTCTGGTGTGAGTCTGGGTCAGAGTTCAGCAATGCAGTCAACATCACGATATACAGTAGGTTATTATATATGAACATGTTTTGCTTTGTATTTGAATGATTCTAACAGTGACTGTAGTTCACAGAAACACATGTGAACACATGAAAAGTAGACTAGATGTTTTAAGTTTTTTTTATTTTTTATCGGACCAGATATGTTTAAAGTATCTCAACAGTTTTTGTCTTGGTTGAAAAATGCTGTTGGCCAAAAGCAAATATTGTGAGGAAGGTCATTACTGATAATATTTTCAACTTTTATTTCTATGAGATTGTGATCATACGTTACAGAAGCTGGAACATTTTTTTAATTATGAAAAACACTTCTCTGTCCTACAGAGTCAAAACCAGTCCTCACTGTGTCTCCATCATGGCTGAAACCTGAAGCCTCAGTGGCTCTGAGATGTAACTATGACAACCAGTCTGAAAGTTGGAGGATCTACTGGTATAAAGCTGTTCCTGATAAGTCTGAGAATGGCTACAGATATGAGCTACTGCCTGGTAGCATCAGTGAAACTGCAAATAACTCCTTTATGATTCACGGTCAGACACAAACAGCAGGATTTACATGTAGAGCTGGAAGAGGAAACCCAGAGTATTTTACTGATTACAGTGAACCAAAGTTTGTCTGGTCTGCAGGTCAGTGCTTTGTATTTTTAACTTTGACACACTGGTAATACCTAAAATAATCCCATGTGCAATGTGACAAATGTTCAGTTTAGTTTAAACTTGTTCCAAAAGAAGAACAAACTTAATGAAGCAAAAACTGTCTGAAGGACGCGAACAAATAAATAATTCCAAATAAAAACAACAAAAACTAATTCATCGACACTGCTTTTTTTCTCCAAATATGTATTTTTTTATTATGTTTTATTTAGTCTCCCATCCAGCAGCGTCTCTCTCAGTGAGTCCTGACAGAGAGCAACACTTCACCTATGAGCCTGTGACACTGAACTGTGGAGGAAACTCTACTGAGTGGAGAGTGAAGAGGTTTTCAGAATCAGGTGACCTGACCGTCGTACCAAACTGCTCTGACTGGATGAAAATGTCTGGATCCTCATGTGTCGTTAGCAGACAGTCTTCCTCTAAAGCAGTGTTCTGGTGTGAGTCTGGATCAGGAGAGTTCAGCAACGCAGTAAACATCACTTTAAACAGTAAGTTATTATCCAGTGTGTGTTTTTTGTTTAATTTTTAGTGTGTAATTGTCACAGAAAATTTACTAAAATATTTCTGAATCAAATTCATCTGAGAAACTCCACAGAGATTATAATACATAACCATCGAGATTTTTCCCATTACTCTGAACATTCGTTATCCTAGTTAAAAAGGAACATTTTCAGTTTTCAAAAATTTAAATGAGTTAGGGCTAGGAGTTAAATTATTTTTTAATGGAAAAATCAATGTATCATCTTCCTCTTCCTGTTTTCAGTGGGATACTGAATATAGAGTTTTGTTTTCAATAGCAATAATTAAAAAGGATCATTGCAACTGATTGTTTTTAATTCTGTTGTGGCAGAATTAAAACTCTTTCACTTCCATAATTGTTTTCTCTGCCAATGTGTTTTTCCTTTCTATTATTCTCTGGAATTAGCTTTTCATTGACTGTATACATTTACACACTTTAGTTAGAGTGCTGGATAGAGCTGCACTCAAAATCCCGGTTTTCATTCTGCTCTGATGGCAGCAGCTCTGAATCTGTCTCTAAACACTACAAGGATTTTTAAAATGCCAAGTTTTATTACAATGTCTCTAACTTTGGTTTCTACTCAGAAATTGTGACTGGCATTGTTTAAAATGACCAGTTATTTAGAGCTGCGTTTATAAACCAAACACATTGTATTGCAACAAATATTTGCAGAAAAGAATATACTACTTAATGTAAACCTTTGAAAGATATTTAGCTTTTTTAAGTGTTTTTTTACTTAACCAATTAAGAGGTGGATAAAACACTGTACTTGATTTATTACTGAAGCCTCATATCATAAATTATGTTTTTCTCTGTCTGGTTTCCAGATGAAGGTCTTCTCCTGGTGAGCCCCGTCCATCCTGTGACTGAAGGAGCTTCTGTTACTCTGAGCTGCAGACTGAGAGGAGAAAACAAACTTTCTGATGTGATTTTCTATCATAATGACAAACTGATCCAAAATGACAGCAGAGGAGAGCTGAAGATCTCTGCAGTGTCTCAGTCAGATGAAGGTTTCTACAAGTGTGAACATTCAGGAGAAGCTTCACCTCAGAGCTGGATGGCAGTTAAAGGTGAGCTGGATTCAATATATTATTGCATTTTTAATAATTACAATTCTGTGAGAAATGAAAACATTTTTATAGGTAAAAATCTTCACCCAGGTGTTTCCAAACCTGGGAGCTCTTCATTTCCGCTGCTGTTGGTTCTTGGAGTAGTTTGTGGATCCGTATTTATTATTCTGCTGCTGCTGCTGCTGTGTTGCTTTAAACATTCCAAAGGTGAAACTTTCATCTCCTACATTACACAACTCACCAGTTTTATTAGGTCATACAATGTCACAAATACAAAATTTAAAAAAAGAAAAAACATATTAACATCATTATTTTATCACAATTCTTTTCAGGTTCTTCCCACAGGTCAGTACTTTTTTTTTATTTCCACTCACCTTAAACTTGAAGCATAAGTGTTGTAATTTGCTGTTTCAAATTGACTTCCTGTGTTCCAGGGTGATCCAATCAGAGATCGCTGATCAGGGATCTGCTATAGATCAACCATACTCAATCAGACCTCGACCAATGAATACAGCTTGTCTTCTCATGGTCGGTGGTTGCATAACATCCACACTCATTTGCAACACATTCAGAAGATTTTGGATGTTAATAACAAAAAAATTAAGTTAAAGTCATGCCGTTTACTTTTAGATGTAGTTAGACTGCAACGGGATGTTTGTGTCAGCAGACTGATTCCAGATATGAAACTGTTTTCTGTTCCAGGTGAAGAGGAAGCCGGTGACGTCACATACGCTGATATTAAGTTCAAAAACACCAAACAGAAAACAAAGTCCTCCAAAAGAGGCAGAGTCCAACACAGTGCGCTGGATATGAAAGGTTTTGATTTTACCAAATGATTTTTTTTATCAAAAATTTATTAATTTTTGGTTACAAATGAATCCAGTTTGATTGTTCCAACAGGGAGGCATCATGAGCCAGAAGAGGGCGCTGTTTACTCCGATGTGAGGACAGCAGCTGCAGGTACAGTCAGCAGCAATACAGTTTGCACTAATATATATGACATATATGACACTTTACATTGGTAAATATTTCATAATTTTCATCAGATATTTATTTATTACATTTATTCTCTCCATTTACAGAAGCATTGAGTGCTGCAGCAGCTGACACAGCACTTTATTCTGAAGTCAGGAAAGGATCTAAGAAGAGAGAAAGCTAGTTGGGTTAACTTTAAACTGCATATAATTTAATCGTGCATTTTTCTTCTTTTACATAAAAGCTCACATAACCATTACCTGATAGATCTTATTTCACAAGTCTTGTGAGTGAGCTCTATATATAAAACCAGTTTTTTTTTTTTTTTTTTTTTTGCAGTCATTTTTTTTTATTTTCTGCCTAAACACCAGAGTTTTTCTTATTTATGTAACTTGTTGACTCAGTAATGTTTTTTTTATCTATTTTATATGCCTGTAAATAAAATAAAAGCTTTTATTTGTGTCATTCCTAATATTTGGTGTCATTTGACTGTTGTAACTTTATATATATATATATATATATATATATA